AAAATTAGTTATGATGTCTAAAAATATTAATTTATAAATTAATTTTAATATATTAAATAATAAATATTAATTATTTTATCAATTATCAACTATTTTTAATTAACAAATTAAACAAAATTATGTAACTTTCACAAAATAATAAATAACCATAACCACACTCAAATTTGAAGTTTTAGTAAAGTTTAGTCTGTTAATTTGACTTCAACTTAATTTATAAGAAATCTTGAAACCACATTGAAATATTTAAAAATTCTTATTAAGACTTAAATTTGTATTCTATTAGAAATCTAAAACCTTGCTTGGAGTTATTAATCTAGAAGTGTGCGGTGGAGACATATCTTTAATGTGATGATCTCACCCACCTTCCATGCGGTGACGGTGAAGAGCGAGAAAAATAAAGAGATGTAAGTAGAATTTTGAAAAAGTTTTTAGAAAGTTTAGAAGTGCTTAGAAGAATTTGAGAAAGCTTCTATATATATATATTTGAACATGTTCATAAGAATCGATTTTGAATCGTTGCCCGAGGAGGAAGAAGGGAGGAATGTATTTTAACATGGTTTTGTTGTTACTGGATCCGAAAGTTTAAATGTTTTTTTTTTTTTTTAATTATTGAATTTTTTATCTAGATATATAATTTTTCTTATTAAGAATTCTGCCCTTTAAAAGATATTCTTCTTATAATTTATTTTATTATTATTTGCTTGCATAATTTTTTAATGAGTTAAATCTTAATAATTAGCACCAAGGCATAAAGGGAATTTTATTCTGAAGGATGATATCAAATTTTAAAGTCTGAATTTTTTATTTCCAACAAATAATAATTTCTACTAGGTTTATAATGCACTTTCGGCCCTTCTATTTATTTTGTTTACATTATATCTTTTGTAAGTAAATATTCACAATTTAGGTTTTATTTAGCCATTCATTTTCATTAAGATTTATTAAATTTAGATATACCGTAACGAAAAAGTCCTCGTATGCTTCCAGAGCATTTTTCTTGGATGAACTAATCTGATACTAGCTAAGGAAGTTTCTTAATTTTGCTCCAAAAGTACCATAAAAAAAAAAAAATTCATTCTAAATCATCTTGGCAAAGAAATACCAGATTTGCAGTATACTAAGCATCTGGACAAGAAAGAGAAAAGAAACCAAGAAAAGATATGTAGAATTTTCACAGGTGGAATTGCACTAGGTTACCCAAGAGTATGACACAATACTTCACCAAAGTATGGTGACATAGGGAAAAATACAATACCAGTGATTAGTCGAGCTGCCTCTTCCGACTAGCTGCAGCTCTTTCTAAGGCTTTCAACCTATTTACTTCCATACGAGCTCTCTGCTCTTCTGTGATTTGAACTTTTGTGGGTGAACTTGCTGAAGCTCTCTCTAGTGCCTTCAATCTGTTAGCTTCCATACGAGCTCTCTGCACTTCGGTGATAACAGCTTCACTAGAGTAGCCATTTCCATCATTCTGTACTTGTTCTGCTGATTCTGTCCTTGAGATTCTGACAGGAAGGTCATCATCAGCATTCATGTTCCTTTCAATGTCCTGAGATGGTTCCTGCTATTTAAAAAGGCCACACAAAAAGATAAAGGAAGGTAAAAGACACCCATCAGATATTGCCAAAACAGCTTAAAAATGTCAATAGATTTTCTGCTCAATCGAATGTCCATAATTCTCAAGGCTAATGTAATAGAAGTCTCACTGTCACTGCAAGCTATGAAAGAATGAAGACCAGCTTAAAGACTAAACCATCGAAAAGCTCTCCATGTGCTTTTTAGCACCAATTATGGAATGCTTAATCCAAGCTCCAACAGTGAGTAGAGAAGGGAAATAAAGATTGGTTTGAAATTACTGCTAGTTCATGAAGAATATATCTTCATTTTTTAATTTAAATTGTTGATGTACCGTCCACCAACACGGTGTATTAATATCAAGTGACAAATCTATGCATATGATGTAAGGCAAAATTTCCAGCAGATAAAGAGTAAATATATGAGGCTAGAAATTCTGTTTACTATCAAGTGCAAGTGCAATGATTACTATCAAGATTATCATCTCCTAAGATTCAGCTAGGCTGGCATTGGACAATGATCTTACCCAAAAAGTCAACCAACATACACATGGATGATCACAACGTAAGTTAATCATATGATATTTCATATGTAACAAACTATTGATTGACTTGTGTATTCTTGCTTCTACACTGGGCATTTTCTTATTCTTAGCTGCCTAAAATAAATAATGAAAATCAGAAGACAACTAACATGAACAGGATTCATGGTGTAGGAGTAGGACTGGACAGAACAATATAGGAGATAGACAAAAAGAATGGAAAGCAGAGGAAAATAAGAGAAAGGGGGAATTAAAGGGAGAGGGGGGGTGAGAACCAGAGCAATTAAGCTGAGAATGAAGGAGAATAATAGAGGGGAGATCTTTAATTCCGTGATTTGTTTGTCAAAATTGTACCTAAGCCTATTGAATAGTAGGATTTATGAACTCAAAAACCCTGTTAGGATTAAATACTCTGATTTTACTAGAAATAGGAGACTAAATAACCTAAGCTGACGTTTTTTCTCATAAATCATAGAATTACATTGAATTCACAAGTTAATCCCAAGAGAATCATAACTATTTTATAATCCTTCCTAAGTAATATAAATAATTCTTCCAAGGATTCTTTATGGACTTCATCACCTTGCAGTTGTGACTTCTCTAGGGAAGACTTTCCACATGGCACGTGGCACCTAAAATACAGAAATAACTGAAACTGTAAAAGTTTCAAGCAACTCCTTGTCATCAGAATCATAGCTGACGGACACAGATTTTTACAATTTGTTAGGATGGAAAATGAAAGGAAACTCAAGGGACAGAATGGGAGCTATTTCATTTATTTGTTTTACCTTTTTTGGCCAATTTATTTGGTTAGTTATAAATATAATGAGAAAAGGATTTTGAATTAGGTCAGAAACAGAAAATCTAGTCCTAAATAAATAAGAAAATAAGGAAAAACATCTCTCACTTTTTATTGTCTGATTTTCTTTTCAATCAAACAAACAAGTTGAGCACAAAAACCTTGACTTTGGGTAGTATTAGAGGTTCAAATCTCAGGGAAACGCATACAAACCAACTAACAGTTCAAGGAACATAAAGAAAAGAAGATAAGGATTCTTTTAATATGCTGTCTTTTTCATCATTTCCTATCGATGGCAATAACCACGCGTAAAAGCATTATATAACCATTTGTTGTTTATTATTTCTAAATTCCATGTGCCACTATGTTGTATAATAATAAGAGGCTTGGGAGAGAAAAATAAACAAAATCAATTCTCTGAGATATTTAACTTAAGGCCTGAGCAATTATATGTTGTGCATGTCCATGTGTATCTGCACTAGCCCTTCAAATATATATATATATATATATCAGAAAAAATTCTGGTGACCTTTTCAATGGCTTCCAGTGATTGTACCACCACAGATAAGTGTGGCTTCCCATCTAAATCAGAACTCCCCTATCAATTTTGGAGTTTCTTTACTCCAAAGCGGTCAATTCTTAGATCTACAAGCACAGGCTTTTGTCTGTTTGATTGAAACTTAGATTCCGTCAGATTTTGGCAAGTTTCTGATGATCTGTGAGCACTAGTAAGGTAGACTAGGGTGAAGCCCACACAATCATTGTTTTTGACCAATTCATCCCCAATGGCTGTCAATTGTGAGTTTATCTTTTCAACAACATATTTCTGTGACTATTTGAAGCACAAGCACTATGGTTTGTCTAGACAAGTTGTGTACCTTTTTAAATAATATTTTGTTGAAAGTGTTCTTTTTGTGAGTTGTTTAGTGGCAAAGTATTGTGGATTTTGAATGAGAGTTTTTGGAGGGACATGGCTTGAAACAACTACAACCTATGGCTTGTGTGTGATGATCAAGCAGCTCTATATGGTGTGAAGCTTAATATTGTGTTGGTCCATCATTCCATGAGAGAACAAAGCACATTGAAGTGGATTGTCATCTCGTATGAGAGAAGATTGCTTTGAATGTGACAGTTACTAAGTCTAAGACATGCTGATCAACTTTGTGATTTAACCACAAAAACTTTGAGCTCTAGAGTCAAATATATTTGTAACAAGCTTAGCACTTATGATACATATGCCCCAGCTTGAGGGAGTGTTAAGAGTTCAGTAAGTTATTTATGTTACTCTACTTTGGTTCAAATACATGTGTCTGCGTGTCTAAGATGTGTCTATCAGGGCTCAAGGTAAAACTAGGTTGATCCTATGTACGAGGAAACTAATGTATCCAGCTGCTCAATTAAGTGCTTATCAAAACATAGTGCATAATTTTGAAATTTGATTAATGTTTCAATTTTTTTTTTTTTTTTTTTTTGATAAGAATGTTTCAATAAGATCTTAATTGTTAGCATATCTTCTTCCAAAATCAAAAATGAAAGGGAAGACATTGAGAGGATAAATTCTTATGTGGTGTATGTAAAAGCTCAAAAATCGCAAGAGCAATAAATACTTAAAAACCATAAATCATTAGATTCTATCTCCTTATAACGAACACAAAAAAGGAGAGATACATGAAAAGATAATTTTCTCTTTCAGCATCCATAAAAGGGGAGTGGTTTATTGTCACATCCAAAATGCATCAATGCAAACAAAAGGTTTAGGTATATATTATCTTTGACTATTTTGCTCTTAACAAACGTTCAAGTTTTCAATAATTTCTTTTAGGCACATGTTAATTTTCAGTGATGCACATCCACTTCCAAACCTATCTCTACATCTTCATCATGATAATCATCAACAAAACTTAATTAACAGTGCATTTTTCATTAACAAATCACAAAAAAGAGTGAAATGACAAAAGATAAAGTAATATGGCCATGGTTGTGAACAATATCAAAGCAGCATTGGTTGAGTAAAATTCTAGGAAAAATAATTATAACTGTGTATGAGGTTTTTAAAAAACTCAAAATATTAATTTCTTTCATTTGGAAAAAACAAAACAATAAAAAATATATTATAAGCTAAATATTTTTGATCGACTAGCACTTTGTGATCTCACATCCCTATAAAGGGTTGATCACAAGCAATAGTTTTTATCATCTAAATCTAAATTCTACGTTTCCATTGTATCAATTTATTGAAACTACTGATCACAACAATAAATTCAATTAAATAGTAATTGCATATTACTGATTTCTATAAAATGTTGTTCTAAATTCTTTCAATTATAAGACTCAACCAAACAAGCTATAAGTAGAGAAAAACTTCTTAACCAGAACAAATACAAGGAATACAAGTTCAATTAAACTGAAAGAAACAACACTTACTCGAGTAACATTCTGGTAAATCTCATGTAGCATACTCTCCTCTAAATTATCAGTACCATGGATGTCTGAAAATGGATCTCCCTGGTTTCTGTCTAATTTTCTTGGTTCTACATCACTTTGCTCCTCAGAATGCCCAGCCCCTAGAGTGTTGATAAATATAAGCTAGATCCAATCTAAAGAGGGTCTCAGGAAAGAAACAAATGCATTGCTTTCTGAAGTCCCTTTTAAGCATGAGTGTAAATAAATATATAAATAAAATATAAACTCCAAACAACAGTTGGATATATATACTGTAAAATTAATAATCTCTTTGCAGTTGGTTTAACACACAAGTCCTTACAAAAATTGCATTTAAAAAATGTTTCTGCAATACAAGACTTAACAAAATGGGCAGAGATCAGCTAGTTCCAAGACCAAAGAAGGATCAGAGCGGATTTCACCCTAACATGGATGAAGTAACCTGCTAGCTCAACAGGTGCACTCCCTATGTGGGAGGCTTTCGGACCAGTTTCAGTGATAGATATCTCTGCATTACTAGCAACAGATTGGTGATATGTAAAGGCCACTTAGTCTGCTTACTGGATACAAATTTTGGCATGTTGTCTCCATTTTCACCTCAAAGATGCCTAAAGGAGATAACAGCTCAGGTGGTACATGCTAGACCAAACTGACATTTATAGGAAAAATTGGCAGCAGAACCCTAGCTAGAACAAAGAGTCTCCTGTAGAGAGAATTAATTGTATCATAGTATTGATATTGTCAATTCTTCACATTATCCATGCGAGGACAGCAGAATATTGTTAAAAAATATGCATGTGATTGGTTTTTCTAGTTCAGTTTTTTAGCAAGGATCTGTAACAAAACAATACATCAAGCATCCAGTCTACCTTGTCCTTTGTTGGGATCATCATGTTTGCTTGGATCTTCATGCAATTTTGTAGGATCTCCTCCACTGGCAACTCGTTCTCTTAAATCCCGAATGCATGTCTGCAAAAAGTTATAAAGAAAATGAGTAATGGATGCAATTTGTCCTTGAAAATACAACTTGGGCTGGAGAAGCTGAAGTTAAAGCACAACAGTGCAGCAAGTTCATAGTTTACTAATAGATCAAACAAACTCTGCATCACAACATATTATGGCCTAATTGGTTGAACAATTTAATAACAAACTTTTGCAATATTCTTTAGCAATGCCTTGAGCCAAATTATTTCTTAGTCCAACAAAATAGCGATGTGAATACAAAGTAACATAAAAATATCCCTTGTCTAAACAAAAGAATGCAAAATTGTCATCTGCATGAGCCCAAGTTGGAAAGCACATTCAAGTGTATGGGATCACAACCATGGAGACTCATTTGAAGCTTAAATATTTTGGTACATACATTTGAAATTTAATTGCTATACAGAACCCAACACAATTAATTTCAGTGATTCTCACTCTTCTTTTTTTTTTTTTCCCCTTTTACTCCTTGGCCCTTCCCAATTTTTTTGATCCTTGTGGTGACAGCTAGCTTCCTCAATCTTTTGAACATGTGCACATATATCAGCAAGTTAATATATTTGAGTAGCACCACCTTTAGGACATCTAAGAGGTTTGACATAATGCCTTCCTATAATTAGATCACCAATGCATGCACAAAGCTATGAAAAAGAGCTGTTACAAACAAAAAGTAGTCCATAAAGGAATTACATTTAACCATTCTAAGATTGTCTACCTACTGCCAAATCTTAACTCAGGACATGTATTTTTATGAGTATGATGAAAAGATGAAATAGGTAAGCTTACCCAATCCTTATGCTATGCAGTCCCCACAGCACAAACAGTCCCTTATCATAATTCCATTACTGAAAAGGATGAATTTAAACAGGACTTACCTTTACCCGCTTACTGGCAGCAACCTGCTCCGCTTTATGTACAAATTGGTCAAAGGAGTAGTATGGAAGCAAATGAGAGTGCCACTCACCATAAAGGCTGATTAGGCTTCCCAAATCACTGACCTATAAAATGTAATCGACAAACAAATATTAGTGATGCATTAGGTAAATCTAAAAACAAAGAAAAATAGATTAAATAGATTTTTTTACCATTTTTCTTTCTGATTTCTTCCACTGTAATACTTAACCATATTAGAGTACATTACGTAGAATTAAAAGATAATTTTTTAAACATAATTTTTGAAAAGCCAGCTGCTAATTAAAGATGAGTAAAACTTACAAGAAAACATCAAAATTCCTTTCTCCATTTAAAAACAATAAAATGTTTGGCATGCAGAAAATCATCACATAAAGAATAAAAAAAGTAGGGTGAGGAAACTAGGTTTGAAAAATCATAAGAATTAGGATAAAGAAGAGGAATGAAAGAAAGGTCAAATCAACCTTGTCAAAGACTTAAAACTTGAATTTAGTAAATAAATAAATAAATACATGGACGTAAACTTCAAGGATTTTTTTGTAAACAATTCAAAATAAAGATATCAACAGGGATAATTTTCAAAAGTCTTTGATTGCTCAAAGACACTTTGACAGAATTTCATTAGAATAGTGGATGGCATTCTTATCTCCAACCAAAGAGAAAGTGTTGCACTGCCACTGCATGGTGCTTAGTAATAGAGGAGAATCTTTTGCTGATTTTTTGTTTAGTATAGTGACCTTATTCCTTGGTTGTTGATTTTTTGCTGCAGATACCTTCTTCGGATTTATTTGAAGGTCAAATTTGGTGGTGGAGAATCATAACTCTGGCCAGGAATACATTACAACATGAGAACAAAACTTGTTCTGTGATGGATTTAATTGATAGAGTTGAAAAAAATCTGTTTCTTTTGTACATAATTGGATGAGAGTGAACAATGTGGTTTTCATCTCCAAACATGAGAATGCTAGTTAGTTGGTCTTTGACTTCTAAAGTTTCACTTAGATTCATAGTTAATGCCTCAATGGTGATTTGGGATGTGAACCAGGGCTGGCAGGATGGGGAGGGACAATGAATAGTTGAGAAAATTTTCCTTCAATATTCTCTGATCCTATATGCATTGCAAACTCTAATGTTGATAATTGATAGGAATAACATACGTATTAGGGCTTTCATACTCTCTAGTTGGCTATGCAAGAAGAAATTATTATCTAGTTAGATTCAGCAGTGTCATTGAAATGGGTGTTGGTGTTGTGGACAAAAAAACATAGGTCTTTGAAACAATAGATACTACTTGGTTAAGTTAATCACCTTTTGGAGAATTGTTGAATCCTTTCCCCCTTGAGGCTGGACTACATTTCTCAAATACCATCTTCTCAAATGGATCTTGCAATTTTCGTTTTTGTTTGCGTTAAATCCTTATTTGGTGTCTGCATCAGGATGCATTTTTAAGCCATTCTAAAGGAAAACTCTGCCTCCTAAGCATTGATGACGTTCTGTCAAACGAACTTAAGCATTTCTCTTTGCTAATCATAATTAAAACTGCTTATATTTATACACTCAGACTCAGAGCTATAATTCATTGGGATAACATATAAAACATAAATGAAAACTTTGCTCTTTCTTTATTGAAACGTAAAAGGGGATAATGCAGAAATTAGAGTTAAAATCCAGTTGAAGCTAATGGTACCTCGCGTCCACGGCCGCCGTACCTAAAGGACCCAGGGAAGTAACGAAGAACATAGCCAAGACCATCATCGGAGAGGAGAAGGTCGGCGGTGAGCTTCGGTCTGCTTCTGGGCACCTTCTTCGGCACAGATTTTGAAACGCCGCTGGTAGCACTGGTAACAGGCCGGCTATTGGCGACCTTAAAAGAGGAACTCTCAAGATTATCGGAAGCAGGGGTGGAGGCGGAGGACGGACAGTCGCGTGACCAGTGGCCTGGGCGGCCACACTTGTAGCAGCCTGTGGGTGCGGAATTTGTATTTTCCATTTGGGTTTTGTCATCGCCTGATGGTAAGATTTGATAGGTTATATGCCTTTGACCTACGTTTTTTCATTTGGCGGGAAGTCGGGAACCAAATGGAGGGAACCTTGTTGGGCTTAGAAAATTGTCCCCGGCCGGCAGCCCAAGAATGTGGGCTACTAACTTGTACATAATCTTAGGGCAGAGCATCGGGTATTAGGTATGTCTGATATTGTGGGTATTGACATGATTTACGTAAGGTTTTTTTTTTTTTTGTTCAAAAATTGGGGTGGGACTCGAACCCCCTATCTAAATTTATATGAAAAGTCTTTAACAAAAGAATGGTGATTATTAGGTCATTAAGATATTTTTGTTTTACGTAAGTTTTATTAACTCTGTGTTAAAAATCATATTTAATTTTTAAACATGTCTTTTTAATTTTGAATTTAATAAAGTAAATTAAAAAAATCTAAAAATAATAAAAAATAATGTTTTGACAATCACTTTATTTAACTGTTTGTTGATAAAAAAATAAACCTTTATAAATTTATTTAAATTCTCATATTTTTTTGATGTGAGATGTTAACATTTACAGACTATTCAACACCTTATACTTAAAAAAGAGTTAAATGTCAAGTATGAAAAATATATATTTGTCATGTAACGGGTTAAGTGTTTAGTATGAGAGTCAAAACTTGTATATTTGACTTGTATACATGAGTCACACACACTTAAATATATATATATATATATATGATTATAGATTTATTTACATACAAATTTTTATATCACACTTATAAAAAAATCTCAATTTTTTATCTTTTTATTTTTAATGATTGAAATTTATTCATATTTATTAAAAATAATTATTTTTTTCACTTAAAATTTATATAAGTGTAGTGTGTAAAACTTATATAAAATTGATTCTTCATATATATATATATATCAATATAAAAAATGAGGATGCGGCAAATTAAGGCATCCTAACATTAAAAATATTAGGATATCCAATTAAACGGTTTAAGTACTATTTTAGTCCCTTACCTTTTTATTTTAGTATCAAAATTGTCTTTCAACTTTAAAAAGTATTAAAATTATCCTCAAACTTTTATTTTCAGTACCAAAATGATCATTTCGTCGATTAAATGCACAGCTGACACATTAAGATGCCACAAAATCACTAATTTTTGAAAATTTTAATGATGTGTATATCAAAAAAGAAAAAAAATTTATCATCCGTGAAAATTTTTTACACATTAGATTACCATCTTCTCAATTTTTCTTTTTAGTGAGACCACATAAAAATTTGTTTTCTCTTTTTCCAGTTTCAATCAAGTCCCCCAAAAATCATAGTTTTTTTCGTTTCTCTTTTCATTTCCTTTTCATTTCCTTTTCAGATTTAAAACCCTAAACCTACAACTTGTACAAAATTAAAATCAAAATCAACTCATCATTTTTCCTTCTTCTTTTTCTTTCTCTCTCTCTTCTCCCTTCTTCCTCTCCAGATCTGGGTTTTCTTAGGCTTGCTGAATCGGTTCAACAACGAGCAACTAAGTCCGAACTAGAATCAGATCTAGGTTTTCTCAAACCCAAATTAAACCTGGTTGCTCCTGATTCTCCCCATTGAACCTGAACTAGAACCAGAAGGTGTAGACGAAGTCGTCCCCGTCAACCCCGAGCTCGGACTAGAACCAGAAGGTGTAGACGAAGTCGTCCTAGCCTCCCCCAATCTCTGGTGCTCGTTTAGTCCACCGCCGTTGTGGAGCTTCCTCAGCAGATGCTTCATCTTGGACATGGATCATCAACGGTGACTTTTTTGCTTCCGCTTCGGTCCGATGACAGGTTTCATCAATGGGGTTAAAGTAAAATAGATGATCTGATTTTGATCCAATGACAGGTTTTCTTTCTCAGGCTTTCATGCTTTCTCAAGTGGCATCGATGACAGGTTTGGGAAAGAGAGAGAAAGTAGATGGAAAGAGAGAGAGAGTAGGTAGAAAGAGAGAGAGATTTGGGATTAGAGAAAATTGATGGATTTGTTGGATTATAACTAGAAAATCAACAAAGAAAATAAGAAACAACGAGTGAACTAAGGCAAACCCAGAATGTGGGATTTGTTAGATTTTTGTAACTGAGGAATTGGCATGTTTGATTGTTCTTGTTTACGTTCATATTAATTTTACAGAAGAATAGGATTGGATTCTTGTCTTACTCTAAATTGTGATTGGTATTGGTATGTTGTAGAGTTCTACGGAATTTGTTTGAAACCCAGATCTGGGTTTCATCACAATTAACAATTAAAATTTTTTCCAAGAAATCCTCAACAAAAAATACACATTATTTCTTCTCGTCTATCGAATTGATCATAACCACTGCCTACATTCCAAAGCTTCTCGCCCGTTTGAGAAAACCCAAAGCCTGGGTTTGTAAATAATAATAACTCATTTCTAAATATTATAAAACATTTATAAAAACTTACTATCCTTGTATACAAATAATAAAAATAATAATAATAATAAAGACAAAACTTTTACTCATTATTTGGAAAAAAGAAACCAACGAAATATATTTTAAAATGGTACTCTATTTAATTCATCTATTAACTTTTATTTTACATATAGATTGATTATTTATATAAATATTTTGTATGATATTTGATTTGCTAGACCTTTAACAATTCTAAATGTACATTGTTAACTAAACAAGTTAAACAACACTAATAAAAAAACTATAATCTCTAAACTTCAATAATAAGTGTTGTGACAATAAATTTTATTAATTTACAATTTTGTTTTGATTATCAAGATATGGAATTAATTTTTTAATACAATTATAGAACCCCTTCACAACCTTTTTATTTGTTGTAATACTTGGGTACTATAAAAGAATTGAGGGTTCAAAAAGTAACCAATAACGTGCAAAAGATGATGAAGTTGATTTTCCCATCTATTATCTACATGCTTATACTTATCTTTATTCCCATCAAAGGCCTTTTGAATGGCTTCTTTGACCCTATCCATTGCTTCATAGATATACCCCTTTATTAGCTTTTTTTTATTGTTAACTAGGTGAAGATCATCCATTAAAGGACCCATAACTTTAAGGGCATACACAACCTCATTCCAAAATAAAGGCATCAAGACAACATTAAGAGCCCTCTTGTCTTTCATCCACTCATATGATATGACCATGTTTCTAAGGTTAATTTTTTGCCTGTGAACCTTTTTCAAAGTGAGATAGGTTGTAAAAACCTTGTGACACCATACCTAACCAATTCTTTCTTTTTTGTGAGAGCTCTTATCAAATTTAAGGTAAAGATGTGGTTGTGTATAAACCTAACCAAAAAATAGTTCTCTCTAATGTTTTTTTTAACATTTGGTAGCTTCCCAATATCTTTCAAGATGAGATCTACATAGTGTGCTGCACATGGAATTCAAAACAAATGCTTCCTTTTTGCTTGTAGCAATTTACCTGCTAAAACATAATTGCTGCCATTATTAGTGATCACTTAAATGATATTTTCCTTTCCAATCCTCTCCAGTAAGTATCAAGTAACTTATACAATTTATCCATTGTTTTCATATAAGAAAATGCATTAATAGATTCCATAAACATTGTCCCTGTTGGACCATTATTAAATAGTTAATTATACTCTTTTGTTTTCTATCTATCCAAGTATCAGACATAATTGAGCAACCATATTTTGCTTGTTTCTTCTTGGTCCTTTAGCATATCATTTGTCATTATAATTCTTTTTTCAGCAATAAAGCTAGCAACTCATGATAGTTAGGAGACTTTAAGTTTGGATTATACCTCCTAATAGCTCCCACCATATATTTGAAGCTATCTAAGTGTGAGGCATTGAATGAGATCCCAGCTTAATAAAAAAATCTTGCTATATATTGAATTGTCTTAATTCTTGCTTTCGGATCATTATCCTTTATACTTGTTTGCCTTATTCTGCTTTCTTTTCTTCTTTGAACTATATATTTTGGTTACATCAAATATAAATCCATTGGGCCTTTCTTTTCTTCCTCTTACCTTGCATTCAAGCCCTTGCTTTTGCAATTAACAATCTTGTGCCACTTGAATTAAATTCAACTAGCTCAACCTCATCCAAATCATCATTGCCAATTTCACAATCTTTTGAATTATTAAACATTTGAAAAGAACCTGAGGAGCCAATGGACTCTTGGGACTTTTTCTTATTGTAATAATTCCATAGATATTCTTTACATTACAAGAAAGCAACTCTTTGTCGGCGTGTAAATAATGGAATTTCAAGCTTGTTTGAACACTTGTAATGATTCTTTAGGCACTTTAAAAAGCGCCAACCATGGGCCCGCAAATAGTGTCAAAAAATACTTCATTCGGGCAAACCTTTTTGTACCCGTAGATAGCCCATTTTGCAAGCGCTTATTTTGAGCACCTATAACCATTTACTTTCTTAGTACTTTAAAATTTGAACGCCTGAATTCAATTCTCATATATATATTTGTTATTATTTTCCCCTATTTTTCATATCAATTCTCCCCAATTATTTTCATGTCAAATTTTTTTTATATCATACTAGAAATCAATTCATTCAAAACCTATTAAATATTAAAACACTCAAAATTAACTATATGTGCATTCATTCATATTTTCAATTAACCAAATATTCATATAAGTACAATATTTCTACCAAATATTTCAACCAAATTGTCATGTCCACATTACATACATGGTAGTAGTGTATTCAAAAAAACCAAGCTCAAACATCAAAATATGAATAGAGCCCTAGCAAAATATTAAAACTTTTGTTGGATTTGGTTAGAAGAATGCTGGTTCAGACTGTCATATCCTTTGGTAGAGTGATGTTTGTTATTTGACACAAAGTTGACAAAAGTTAAAAAACTAAACCTTAAGAAAGTTCAACAACACCATAATCTGGCATTGAACCATTAAACTTGAACTAACATATTGAATTTTAATTTGTTCTTTTTCAACAACAAATTCAAACATATGGCTTATCTTGAATTTAATAACATTGTAAACATTAAAAGACACAATTAATAGAACATAATCAAGCTTAGCCAATGCAATTTTCCAAAGGAAACTAGAATAACTAAAAACCGAAAAGACAACAGAGAATTCACAACATCCCATTAACTAAAAATAGAGCAAATAATCTCAACATTCATTAACTAAAAAAGTGATAAGAAAGCCAAAAAGAAATGTATTATATTTACTCAAAATAAAACAATTCATAACATCCATTAACTAAAAATTAAATAATCATTCTTCATAGAGCATCAATAATCCACAATATGGTATTGCAAATGAAAAAGCAAATCGATCAATTTAATTTAAGAAAATGAAGAGTACCGTATTGTCCATTATAACAATTGAAGAACCAGTACTATAATTGAAAAACCAATACCACACCTTTTATCGACATCATCCAAGACATCATCATGAAGGCAATTACATGACCATAAATGATTACATACAAGAAAAAATGTGAAAAATAAAAAAAGGGTAATCTAAAGTAAACCTTTTGATCAAGGCTTATTGTACATAGTAGTTAAAAGAAAACCTTTTCTTTCAAGAAGAAAACCTTTTCTTTCAAGAAGAAAACCTTTTCTTTCAAGAACTAAAATGATAAAAACAAGTAACAAGATGATAAAGCAAAGTAAAATGCGTACTGAAAATTACCTATTATGCTAATTGGTTGAAGAGATTTATCCTTGACCTTGAGAAGTCTTTGATATCCAAATAAGGAAGACTAGGTTTCATGTGTGACCATTAAAGCTACTTTAGCATAAAGGAGGCTTTGTATTACGAATAAGAGTCTACCATTGCTAATAAAGGGGAAATACTAACCAAAAGGATATCAGTTCCTTTAGCCTCATCTCACTAGCCTCAACCAAAACTCCCTGTAATTTGCAGAACTCATAGTCTCAAAACTCCAATGGAGATATTAAATATTTTTTGAAACTATAAGTGCTAACCAAAAACATTCTATAGAAGTTACACCTACAAAACAGCTTTCTTGCATAATTGATGTACCATCTTTTCATTCATTACAGCTCATGTAGGTAAGATAAATAGTAATTAAAAATAAAAGAAACAAAAAAGGGGAAACTGACATGGATCATTTTTGTAATCTTGACCAGCACTGTTGTTTTGTCTATAAATCAATTGCCATAATATCTCCCACTCTACCAATAGATTGTTTAAGTTATGAACATTCAAAGACTATTAATAAAAAGCAATTACAAGCTGCAACAAAAAAGAGTAGCTACCAATTTTAGCTTATATTCATCAAAAAGAAAGTGACCATGAATTTTAGCTTATATTCATCATTACCATTAGACCAAACTTATGTCCTTCAACGCCCATTTTGGAGAAATACTCAATGGTTGATGAAAGCTTAGGAAACAATATGAGATAGATATCCAATTTTCATCACTTGATGGCAACCTAAATAGCTTTCATCATGTGAAAGTAAAAAAAAAATGTCAGCTAAAAGATAGAAGAAAAATTAAAGTTAGATTCCTTAGCCACTACCATTGCCTACAACCTATCAACAAGAAGTGAAAGTTGATTCGCAACAATGGAAAATGGGTAAAGTTATTCCTAGACAAAACATTCCAATCAAAATGAAGTAACAAACAAGGATTGATGTACATACCAATATAATCAACATACCAGAATTTATAAGAATCAAGTTTTCACATCAAAATTCATCAGAAAATGAAACATAAAATGAAGGCGGGGAGGAAAATCATTTTGGCGGGAGTAAGAACGGCCTCTAGTGCCTAATCCCTAATCACCCAAAACCCCTTCATTTTGTTTTTCTTTCTTTTTTTCTTTTTTTTTTGGCACTCAAGTTAATAAGTGCTTACAAATATCAAACATATCAGACGCGTAATTGAAAGCGCCCACCTTTACCCACGTGCGTGTAAGAATTTACCAACACAACAAGCTAAATGCTTGGAAGAAAGCGTGGATAAAAGCTAAAATTCTTATAGTGTTAACTTCTTGTGAAACTTTTAAATAAGCTATAGCATTTCCCAAACTCCCTATTTGATGTTGCTTTGCTTGATTGATTTCCCAATAGTTGTTTTGTTACAAAAATGTAGGTAACATAATTGGGTCTAAATGAATCCTTCAAAGAATTTCATTTCCAACCAAGATCTTTCTTGATATTGGACCTAGATAAAATCAATTCCATTTGCAAAGGGACAAACAAGTGCTAAAGTAAGCAAAAAAACATAGCAAGAAATGAAGAAAGGAAAAAGAATGTTGGAACGAATAAGAGGATAAAACTAGTATTGATCTTTTAATACTCTTGAAGAACTCACAAGCTTGATCTTGAAGAAAGAAGAAGAAAAAGAAGAAGTGATGACAACTGAATTGTTTGATCTAGTATTAGCCTTTTAGGGTTTTATTTAAGGGATAAAATCTGTTAAAATATCATTTTACCCTTAAAATTAAAAGTTAAGTTGAATGATTTTGTCAAATTTAAGAAGAAGAAAAAAAATAAGCACTTCAACCACTTCATGCTTTTAGCGTTTCATAAATTATTAAAGTGCCAAAGGTCATGATGAGAACCCCAAAGAAAACAATGAGATTTATAGCATGATAGAGGATTTTGAAACTCTAAGAAAGCTAAATTAGATTTATAATAGGACCTTGACCCGTTGTTTATGTCGCAATAAGAACCAAAGGTAAAATCTTTGACCCGTTGTCTATGGTGCAACAAGAACCAAAAGTATAAAGTTGGTTGACGCCACACCCTCGAACAGTTAAGAACGAGAGTCATAAGTCAGGTTAGAACGCCACAAGCATAATCTTGATAAGTTCTGTAAAGTTTTAAAACGAACTAAAGAGAAAAGTCTCTCAAAATACTCAGATTCAATAGCTATGTCAATTAGGGTTACAAGCCCTTTAAATAGGGAAAACTACTCCTAATCAGAATAGAAACCTAACACCCTAAGTCCTAAACCTAATAACCACGAATTGGGTTTTAAATAAGTAAATGTTTCGTCCAAAAATAATACAAAAATGTGAAGTCACTCAAAATAACTTAAAATAACATAAAATATCAGTTTGCTATAAATTACGACAAAATTGTTCAATTTTGAGGCAAACTATGTACTTCAACATGAATGACCTTAATTAAGCTTCTCTTGGACTTGAATGATATTTGCCATGCCATGATAATCATCCAAGCTTCGATTTACTTGTTGCATGTTGTTTTCAACCAAGATTTACTCAAGAAGGCCATTTAAAGCTTCTTGCATCTTCTTAGCTCTAGCTTTCGTGACTAGACCTCCTTGAATGTGTAATGGATCTTTTGACGTGGTACATGTGCTATTGTCTTGATTCCCATTAGGCCAAGAGTGCTTAACCTTATTGCTTAAGCAGTTGAAGCGGGTGCTCTTAACAACACTTTAAATAATGGAATACTATTAGTTAACAATGATAAAGATCGCATGGAATAAAAATGTAAATGTGAAGTATGTCAGCTTCGCGTTAACTTTTACATCAATGGTAGCTTTATGGCTTTTTGATGGTTAGGGTTAGATGTGATTGGACACATTATGCAAAAAGCCTCAATTATACATACATACATTTTGTCATCAATTGATTATTTCTCCAAGTAGGTGAAAGCAATACCATTGAAACAAGTTGGGAAGAAAGATGTGGACAACTTTGGTTGTGTTTAGGATAGTTGTGAAGTGTTGTGATAATGGCTTTTTTAGTATTCTACTTTGAGAAAATTTATGTTATTATTTGATAATTGCTTTAAAGAGTCTTATATATTAATACAATCACTAAATTATATAAAACATTAATAAAAATTAATTTAATCATAATAAATTAATACTTTTATGAAGTGTTGTAGGAAAAGGCACTATAGGAAAGCAATCTCAAACACTACCTTCATTCACGTCAATATCATCAACTAGTATGTTGTCCCATGGTTCATAATTATAGATATTAAAAAGTTTTTTAGTAATTGCCTCATGGATAAATTATGTATATAGTTCAAGTTCGCTTAGCAATTTTCTTTCATGTACAATTCTACTACAAATAGACTAATAAAGGCCTTCAATAAAACTCTTTATAATCTTCTCAAAAAGGTTGTTTCAAAGTCTAAGTGAGATTAGTATGAAAGAATTGGTGAAGCACTCTAGGTATTTTGAATAACTCATTGTACTCCAACACAAGCAACTTCTTATTCCCTTGTGTATGAAGTTAGAACCATCCTCCCTTTGGAATGCTTAATTTTATCTCTCATGATTGGTTTTTAAGAAGGCCTTTTAATGAGTAGAAGTTATTCCTTTGAATATAAAAAAGAAAAAAATTTAAGTAAAAAATGGGAGGGGAGAAGTTGTTGTGTTAAACTTGCTTTTATATATAATTATTTTATTGGTAAATTTATTATAATAATTTAAAATTTGAAATTTGTTAGTGGTTTGGGGGCAAAAAGCTACATTAAGGAGTTTTTTAATCCATTAAAATTGGACTCTTATTATTAATAGCTGATATCAAGTAGGTAAATAAATTTTGTCTAAATACCAAATACTTAACGGTAAGTGAAAAAAATTAATCAAATACTATTATAGTTTCATTTGATAATACTTCTTAGTACTTTAATTTTTTATTTTCATGTATTTTTATTATTTTAAAAATATATAAAATATTAATCAAAATAAATATTAAATATATTTTATATATTTTAAAGATTAAAAAAAAAAAAACTTAAAAAACTAACATCTTCAAGGGAAGGAAGAAGTCCAACACAAGCAACTCCTTATTCCCTTGTGTATGAAATCAACTCCTTATTTCTTTGTGTATGAAATCAAGGTTGTCCTCCCCTTTGAATGCCTAATTTCATCTTTCATGATTGATTTTCAAGAAAGCCTTACTTATTGATAAGTAGAAGCTATTCCTTTGAATATAAAAAAGAAAAAAAAATT